AATCGAAGAGCAGGTAAGTCATTTGTTATGAACAAAGTCAGTACAAACAAAGGCAAATGTGTCAAAAGTTCGTTATGGCTCTCTCCCGCACTCTCTCTCTCTCTTGCACACACACACACACACACTATATCTCCCGCCACGCCGTTCATAAAGGAAAGAAATTAATTTTGCTTTTGCATTTTCCTTTACCTTTTTTGCTCTCTTTTAATTTTAATTTGCCTTGCGCAGCGAATTCGCGCGCAAAGGCACAAAAAATACAGTAATAAACGTCAAATGCCAGACGGACAAAATGCCGCCGCCGCTCTTTTTTACTGTAAATGTTTTACAGTGTGTGCGTGCGTGTTTGGCTTTGCTCGTTTTCTTCTATTTGTTTGCTTTTGTCTTAATTTGTATTTGTAACTGCTTTTCAATGGTTTTGCAAATACAAATAAATAAAATACAAAGTTTCCTTTCTTATCAGCTTGCCATGCTATTGAAATCATGATGAAAGACAGACCAGAGAGGGGCAAAAATAGAGAGAAAGAGCGTCAAACACACCTAACGGCCGTTTTGATAAGAACCAGTGGTAATTGTTTGAGTGCGGGAATTCCAATAGGAATGGGCATTAAAGAGCCGAACTCTCTCGCTGCCCCTAAATCTGTGATTCCTCCTCCGCCTGGGTGCTGATGGAATAAAGCAGTCTGAAGTCTCAGCATTATCTCAAAAATTTATGTTTTCCAGCTCATTTTTTTTCAACAATAATAGTGACATTGACTAAATCAAATACAAATAGCATTTCTCGAAGTTGGATGGTTCGAGTTTCGTTAGAATTTCCAGGGCCAAAAAATTATACAATTTCCAGCGGTATAAAAACTTTAATATCTGTGCACCTTAAATTCTGATGATATCATCATTGAGTTGGATTTTATTTTATATATAACAGGGATCAGAGTTCCACAAGGAGTTCAACACTAAAGTACTGAAAATCTATTGAGAAAATAGGACAATTTTCAATCTAAAAATAATCTATCATGATGAGGAAGCCAAAAAAAGAAAACATTTGAAATTCCTGAAACTTGTTTAAAAAACATCCTTTGTCAACACTGATGAACCACCTTCATAATTATACAACACTACTGCTGTGAAATCAGCTATCCAACTTTACAAGTTTGTTATTGATCTGTAAAGTCAGTAAATCTGCCAGATATTACATTAAGAGAACAATCTGTACAATATTTGCATACTGGAATGGAATACTATTCCTCTGTTGTATGTACATATATCACCTTTTTTGACCGTTTCGTGTATACTTCACTTTATTTAATTTTGGTAATGAATTGCAGTTATCAGATAGGAGGTCCAAAAATGTTTACTACTCTTCGATTCAATACTATGTCGGGGCGGCAGTGGCCACAAACACAACCGTTGCATCCCTCCCTCCTCTGCCCATTCCCATTCAACCCGTTCCTGGGTTGCTGTAAACACAAAGTGCGGACGTCATATGGAAATTGATTCATGAAATCAAATTACAAAACATTAAATGAAGCAACTATCGGCCGACCGAAGCTGTTGATACCCTGACGGATCTATCGTATATTTAGTTTCCAAGGTTTTCCTAAGTACTTTCCTAAAATCAGTACTCTTATATGAAATAGTGATACGGATTCCAATTAATTTCAGCCTTCTGTGGTTGTGTTCGGTGTGTTGCAAACCTCTCTTAAAAATATCCACAGTAAAGGGTATTAAAATCACAAACAAAAGGCCAACAGGCGGTCGGATCGGGTGTATCTAGTAACATAACATGTAGTACTCCCAAGAAGAAGAAGCAGAAAAAAAGAAGAAGTAGGTGAGAGGGAGGAGGGGGAAGAGGAGTACTTTTCCTTTTGTTGTTCGCACGGTTTCAAATTCCAATGTATTGGCAACATTAACATTTACATTTACTAAAGCAGAGGCAGAGGCAGAGCAGAGCTCGCGCTCTCGCTCTCTCTCTCGCAATCCGCTCTCTGACAATAATTCATTCATGGTTTTGTTACATTTGCTGGCAGGATATCAATGAGAAAACCATTCAACAAGTAATTGTCATATTATTGGGCAACTCTTTAATTTTCATAATCTTTTACCTATAAAACTAATTCAATCTGCGACTAACATCGCTCTGTAAAGACGATCTTTGCTGCTGTTATGTCCGCTGATTAACAGCTGCCAGCTCTCACGCGCTCTATGCGCATGCTCACTCTCTTCCATTCTCTTTTGCTGGTTCCGTTTTCTTGTTGCCCCGCCGCTCATTTATCGGCGTTTGTTTTGTCAGTCTCGTCTGAGACGCCGTTCGTTGCTCGCGCCGTGTAAAAATGTAAGAGCGAAAATCGCCGAAAAGCGAAAGAGAAATATGTAATAAATTCAAGTGGCAAAAGTAATACACGAAAATCATCGTGTCATTTTGTGTGCCTTCCCAAATGCCGCCACCGCTCCCGCCCACCCTTTGAATCGTTCGTTGGTTCGTTTGTTCTCGAATCAAAAAAGTGCCCATACAAATATTCCATAGAGAAGTGCAATAAATGTTTTTTCAGTGTGCAAAGTTCAAAGGCAAAGGCAAAAGCAAAAGCAAAGGGAGCAAAAGCATAATCAAATGAAAAGGCAACGGCTACGGCAAAAGAAAAATCAAAAGTAAATGAAAATGAAAAAGAAAAATAAATGGCAAAGCGAATGCTAAAAAGTGCTTTAAAGTTGATTAAAATATATTTATAAAAAGAAATGAAAAGGCAAATAGTAGAGCACACGCCGTCTTGCCGCCAGTCCCCTCGTCCCCTGTTTATGCCACCTCTCCGTATCTCTCGCTCTGGGGCACACACATGGCGGCAGGCAGTTTATTTTTATTTCATTTGCACATTTTCAATGCAAATTATTATAGAAATCAACAGATAAAATACCAAAAAAAAAATTTCGCTTTCGCATTTCAATACCAAAAACAAAGCAACAACGAAAACGGAACCAAAAAAGAGATGAAACAAGAAACGGGCGAAAAAGAAAAGAAACGACAAAAAAAAGTGAAATGCGCATTGACTTTCGGGAACGTTTTTATTGTAAATTTTTCAAACGGCACTTGGACCGACGACCGTGTGATTGTGTTGCTCTCTCGCTCACGCTATCGCTCTTTCCACCGCTCACCTCGCTCTCTCCCTATCTCTCTCAATCACTTTGGCACGCTCACTCTCTCAACGTGTTCGTTCGCCTTTTGCTTTGCTCTTCAGTTCGCATAACGGAACTGAACTGCCTCGGCGGCTGTCTTCTTATTGTTGTTAGGCAAAAGCAGAGGCAGAGACAGAAAAAAAGTTGAAGCGGTATGCGTGCGTTGCCCTTTGGCTCCACGCTTACAACTACAACAAAAAAGCAACTATACACTCATGAATGAACAAACGAATGAATGATGGTTGTTGTACATGGAGCAGAAGCCAGTGAAAGAGGCTTCTAGATAATTATCTGCTTCATCTCTTGAACATTTTTGATTTGTATTTAACACCTGCTGTTCTTCCATCAACGGAATGAATGCTCAATGCTCAATGCTCAATGCTGGCAATGCTCTATGTATGTAATCTCTGTGTTTGCGCGTGTGTGTGTGGTGCTGCAATTGCGATCAACAGCTGTTGCTGAGTGAAGAGAGCTACCACTTCAAGAGAGGGAGAGAGAGCACGCGTGGCTCTGTGTGTGTGTGTGTGTCCTTGCGTGTGGTTTTTGTTTTTGTGGTGTTTTGTTGTTGCAGCTGGGAAGATATTTTTGCCAAGTGGGAAAGGGATGGGAATTTATTGCGTTAAGATTAGGGAGACAAAAAACAACCTATCGAATTAAACACACAACTTATCGAACAATTACTATCCATATCCATGACGAACTTGTGCACTTGCAAACAATTTTTAAAACCAAAAACAATTTCTATTCAAAATTCTCATCAATTTTGCAGCCAACTAATAAATTAATCTATCAATCGCCTCAAACAAAAAGCAATACAACAAAAAACAACAAATTAAACGACAACAAAATGGGACAACACCCGAAATACAGCAACAAAAAGTTAAACATGTAGTTACAAATCAAAGCAAAACAAAAGGAAAGAAAAGAAAATAAAAGCAAAGAAAAGTTTATTACGAATCGCATTAACACAGACGTAGCCATTAGCTTTACAGAGAAAAAAAAGCAGAAGCAGAAACATAAACTTTAGAGAGCCTATAAAAGTACGCCTTCCAATAGTTATTATTATATACAAGCATTATATACAGCCTATATACATACATGGACATAGCCATAGCACATACAAATTCGATATGGATGGTTTATACAAAAGGAGGAGCGGGATGATGACGACTCGTGGCGGAGAATCGGGGTTAAAGTGCGTTACATTCTAACGGTGCAATCAAATCTTATTATACATATATAGGCACACACGATCATAGTATATAGAATACGAGTATATATACATATATATATATATATATTTCTTACATCAAATACTCTAAACTAAACAATTTTTACAATCTGCTTGAAAAATCAAATCAAATCAACCGCAAACGCAATTACTTTAGTAAAAATTACTTTAAACAAAAAACAAAACAAAAAAAAAAACGATAGAAAGCAAAGAAACAAAAAGAAAAACATTTAAAAAAGTCAAGTGCAAATTACGAAAACAAATTATTCTTAATAGAACAAAATAAAATTCAACAAATTATTAGAAATATTAGAAATTTCAAATATTAAAACAAAAAAAAAAAAACAAATTTATCCTAAAGCGTATTTCTTAGGTATAAATCAAATGAGTAACAAACAAATTTTTATATGTATATGGTAAATGCGCCCCAAGTGCTTAAGCAACAACAAACACCCCAAAAACAAAGCAAAAACAAAACACATAAAACAAACCTAATGTTAAACAACAACAACCTCAACCAACAGCGAATCGAGCAATATTATCAATAATGAATCATTAAATTGTTAAACGTTAAAGATTAAATGTAATGTAAAACAAAACAACAAATTAAAAAATTTAAAAAAATCAACTAAACAAAACAGCAACAACGCTAGTAACCTGCCAACAAAAGACACCAACAACTCATGCGGTGCCTGAAAAAGTACATCATCATCGCCTTACAACAATCACAACAACAACAACAACAGCAACACCAACAAAAACAACAAGCAAGTGCCTCCGCCTCCCCAGAGGCCAGGGGACTAGGAATAGGAATAGGATCAGAAACCGAAACAGAAATCAGAAACCGACGACCAGGAACTGGACCGAACACCCACACCCCCCATCATTCGTGGGCGGCAGCTAAATCGCCCAGATATCTTGGATTAATCATCACTTAGCTGACGCCGCCGCCGCCGCCACGCCCCAAAGCGGGTGTATGGGGGATGCGTTCTATGTCAACAACAACAACAACAACAGCAGCAACACCTTTAACTTCACCAACGATCACAGCAGGCTATGGATATACATATGAAGAAACTAACTAAACCACGGTAAGTCCTCCTCCTATCATATAGTATTTTCGCCATCAGTAGTATGTTGATCTATCGTTTACCTATCTGTAGAACAGGTAGAGAAAAACCAACCATAACTCAGGAATACAATAAATCAAGTTCATTCTGAAAAGCCAAAAGGGTGGACAAAAAGGTTTTCATGTGCCACATTTTCAAGATATGTCGAACTCTTTTCTTCGAGTTATAATATTACATTTCAGAAAAATAAATAATTTATTTGGAAAACACATTTCCATTAGCAGCACATTCTTGAGCGCGGGTGTTGTTGCTTCCCCTGGGATATTACATCATTTTTTATTAAATATTGGGAGTTTCGCACTTAAAATTTAAATGTTTATATTTTTTAAAATTTAAAACCAATTGAAAATTTACCTTATAAATCAAAAATATCTGGGGTTGGTCTCGTCACTCGTAAGGATAGTGGCCGTTTGCTTATGGGTAATTTCTCCAACGAATCAACGGCCCTTTCGAACATCATTCCAAGGAAATATGTACCATATCGTATAACTTGTTAGTAAAACTAGATCGAATGATTCGAACTCTGAGGACCTTTGGCCGGTGATTGGAGAATGGACAGAAATCCTACGCACATGAAATTTAATCGGATGCTCTCTTTCAAAAAACTTTTCTCATTTCTGTAACCTCTTTTTTTTTGCACTCCCTCCTCCGCTCCACTTCTTCGTTGCTTCTTCGTTTCCCCTGTTCCTAGTTGTATTTTTTGTTTATTTTTTATTGTCAATGAGCTGCGGCGGCCACTAAAATGTATAATTGAAAATTGTACGCCCACATTTACTGCACACACACACACATCTAAACAAACATGGAAACATAGACACACAGACACACAGAACAGATACGAACATACGTATAAAGAGCAGTCACACAAAAAAAAAATAAAAAAAAAAAAAAAAACGGATCACATAAATAACGTAGTCGAAACCCCTTGGATACCCTGGTAGTATGCAAAAATAATCTAAAAACGTAGAGAAATCGTAGTGCGACTTCCATATAGCACCAAAAATAAGTTCTATATGGTTCTGTATTCTGTATTCGTAAAAAGACATTGTTTTTAAGTTTATTTTGTTTAAAAATAATTTTTAATTTTTGTTCCAGTTTTCCTTCTCAACTAAAACTCGAAGGATGTTTAGTAGTAGTAAAGGATTATTCGCTATAAGCAAAATGTACTGAAAATTGAACGAAATTACAGTGTTCTGGAACTAAATTCTTTATTGGAAACTTCATGGTACCAAAGGTCGTATTAGAAAAGTTAGACTGTACTTATTAAAAGTGTTTAAGAGTTCAATATAAACATGAATATTATCAACAGTTTTTAGTTTTCAAAACAATCGGTGGACCTAAGCCGTTTTAACTCTCAGAAAATATCATAGTTACTTTGAATTGAGATTGTTTTTGTTACATATCTTAAATCTACGCTTGCTTGAAACCGAAATGATCATACCCCACCCCCTACGTACGTACGTCCAGGGTATGCAAAAACGGTCCCCAGTTGCTTTTAGCGCCATGCAATAAACAGAGCGAGAGGGCTGCTGTGCTGCCAAGTTTTTGCGGGTTTTTCTTTGGCTCCTCTTCTTCTGCTTGCAGACGACTTCCTCCCGTCCGGCCACTGCCTAGTCTTCTTCTTGCCCCACCCCATTCCACCCCACCTTGAGCAAAGTAGAAAAATCTTGGTGTTTTTTGTTGTTGTCTTGTTTCGGCTTTTTGTTGCTCTTCTTTTTCTTCGGGCGGCGGGCTTCGTCGTCGTCGTCGTCGTCGTCGTCGCCACGCACTGTTTCCCCATGGCTAAGCTATTGTGCACTTTTCGCTGCAATTTGTCGAAAACTTTGCTGCCTTGTTTTTTTTTCGTTCGTTGCTGCCGCCTCTACTCGGAGAGTGTATTCTTATACACTGCCTCTGCCACGCGTCCACGAAAGTTTAACCATAACAGATTTCTTTAGACCTTAGAGCTTCCTTTTTGGGTCGGTGGGAGGGTGGGGCGCCCTTAAACTCTTGAGCCCTCATTTTCTGGTCGAAATCTGTCGGGCGGAAGCTGAAGGACGAGCTGGCGATCCCATAGCTTGCATAAAAATAGTTTCAAATATATTCGAATTTGTATATTTTCCACATTTTACTGTGCAACACCTGGCCCCTTACCCCTTGCCCCTGTCTGTTTCGAGTTCTTGGTCATTTTATGGCTTTATGTGTGTGTGTGTGTGTGTGTGTGTCTGTGTGGAAGCAAGGAGTCGGGGGAAAAGCGTACAAAACGTGTGCGACACACTCAACAAACTGATAAAATTTTAATTTCTCCAAAATTGAAATTTTAATGTGTGTCTAGAGCGCGCGGTTTACCAGGGCGCCTCTCTGCCTCCGTGCCTGCCCCCCTGCCGTTGCCGTTGCCACTGCCATTGCCATTGCCACCGCCACTGTCTCTCCACTCTCCACTCTCCACTCTGTGGCATCCCCTAAAACCCCTAACACTGAACCTAACTCTTGCCCCTCGCCAGAAATGTGCCCCCTGTGCGGCAGCCACTCACACACGACTGCAAAAGTTTTTGGTTTTTGTGGGTTCTGCCTTCCCCTTCCCCCTCCCCTTCCTGCCCCTGCCACAGCCACATCCACACCCACCACTATCCCCACACACCCGTACCCGTTCTTGGCTATAGCATTTTGGTCTTTCCCATTCTGAGCCGACTTTCTATCATTGGCGGCTGCTTTTGGCGTTGGCCAAGAAGCGAATTGCGCCCATTTCCCCTGCACCGCCTCCTGTGCTGTGCATATTATAGAGTTGAATTATTAAAATATCTGCTGGCTGTGTGTCAGTTATGAATAGCCAAGTGGCTGAGTGGCAAGGAGGCAAAGGAGGGGATGGGAGAGGAGAAACCTTCTTCCTTCTCCCAAAGATTGGCCAATGAATTACGATTTAAATCAAATTATAATCAATATATAAACGAATCTTAAGATCTAAAGGATCAAAGATGATAAAATACGAGAATGAATACTAGATTGTAAATATTCATCTATTCTTTTGTAAAGCTCTGATCGTCTCTCGTACTTGCGGTCTTCCCTCATCACAGCTTTGGAATAGGAATATTACAAGAGTAACGGCCAGCAATGAAAAACTCTATAATTTTCTACTCATAGTATGCAAAAAGGAGAGGTTTTGTTGGGCAAAAAAACTATTACCAGTCATGAGGACTCTCTTCTAATCAAACCAAATGATTCGACGAGAGTCAACACACACACACACACACTTACAGAGTCCTCTTTTGGCCATGATGCCAAAAAGTCAAAGCCGTTTCACCTCATCTCCCATCATCACCATCATCCTCCTCATTGGCCCACTTAAACTATTGACCTACACACCTAATTGATATGCCATACGTATAGTCAGATATCAAATTGCGGTCGCTGTGTGTGTGTGTGTGTGGGTCGATAGAGATGGAAGATGGAAGATGGAGAAAGGCAGCAAAAGAGATGAGATGGCGAGAGATTGGTTGGTGCCGTAGGAGGCGGAGGAGAGGAGAGAGTGGAGCTCTGGGGATTTTATTTTTTATGTCGAAATTATACATTTTATTATGTCATTTTAATGCTACAAAAGGCACTGAACAACGTAAAAGTTGCAGAGAGAAAGGATCCAAAATGGCGGGCAGTTGGGGCCTGGGGGCTGGCGGCTGGGGGCTGGCGGCTGGGGGCTGGGACAACAACAGAGCAAACTAAACAGCAAACATCCAACATCCTGGCGTCCCATACCCTGGCCGTCTTTTATGCCAGACCATAAATCAGCAACAGTTAGAGAGGACACCCTTGGAAGAGGGTCCTTGCACGAAGGAGGAGGCGGAGGTAGCCCTGTTCCCATTTCGTAGGCAAAAGTGAACAAGGTGGAAAATAGAAGGAGGAGACGATGAGACAGAGAGAGACCAGATTGTGCAGTAAACAAAAATACACAAGAAAATGCCTAGACGGCCTTTCGACCACAGGAATACCCTATCTTTTTTATTGCAGCCAACACCTCTACTCGAATCGAAAGATATATCCTTTTCTACCTTCCGAATAATTAGAAAACGAAAGTTTTTAGGGGTTTTTTCGTTGTTCTGCTTTGCTTCCTTTGCTCCTTTGATTTTTGTTTCAAGAAGCAGAGATCCTGAGGGCGAAGGCATACATACATATGTATGTACATGCATATGTATTTGTACATTTATGTATTTGTAATTTTTATGCCTTATAAAAACCAACCGAAAACCAGAAAACCGAACAAAAGGCATTGAACGAAAGAACACACACACGCGCGCAACATTCATCCCATGACAGATGTTCTGGCAGCCGTAAGGGTGATGGAGAGAGGCGGCAACGGTTGAAGGGGGGGGGAAGTGGAAGACAGTGGAAGAGGCAGGGAGGGGTCGGTTGGGGGGTGGAGAGGCAGAACTGTCATTGAGGGGCAGCCAAATTGTTTTATGTCTATCGATAAAGTAAATCACTTCCCCCCCGTGCCCCTCCCCCCACCCCTCCAACCTTTGGCGCGCACTTTTGTTTGCAAAATAATTCGCTTCGTACTTTTACAAGGGTTTCCTTTCCTTTTCTTTCCCTTTTCTTTTTTTTTTGCCTGCAAGGTATATAGCAAATAAAAGGTAAGGCCGTGTGCTCTCTCGCCGCGGCCGGCCTTCCACCTACCGTTCAATCAGCCTTGGACTGGCATCCCGTTTGACTGTTTACGTTTTATATCTGTACATGTCACTCCCTCTCTCTCTCTCTTTCTTACTGTCTCTCTTTACTTAATGACCCGAACCTTGTGTTTGATGCCCAAAGAGAAAAACAAAAACAAAAACGAATCTGAGCGACAATTGGCACGTGTTGGGATTTTTATATGTATCGCGACTGTGTGTGTGTGTGTGTGTGTGTGTGAATGCGCTGAGCGAATGTGAGCGCCAGGCAGAGGGAGAGTTTAACTCCAAACAAAAGCACCTCTGGAGCTCATCAACGGGCCT